TTTATATAGAATAACTAAAATGATTTATTTTTAAAAATTGTCAGGTGTCTCTATACTTTTTACCAGTGAGTGTACATACACAAGATAGTAACACAGTATATATTGTACATATATGTAACATCTGTTATCATGTATAGGTATTTGCATAAAATATGCATCATAACAGGATTAGATGTTTGTGACATTGAACAAGGATCAGAGCAATAAAATTTATTCCCATTTTTTTTTATATTTATTGAATAAAGGGTAGTACTACGTAAACAATTCCTTTTTAAATATATTTATTGAATAGAGAGTAGTGTTCCCTAATATGGTACTAGATGATGATCATTTTTTTTCTCAATCCCAAATAAATGTCATGTTGGAGGAAAAAATTTTACCTCACGAGGTTGATTAAATATATTTTTTTCCTTTTTTTTATATAATAATACTATAAATGAAAAAATCCGGAATTTCAAAATAAGAAATTTCAGTCGGTATTAATGAAATAAACATCCGGAAAAATTTTACTTTTTGACGAACTTTTGGTTTTGTTAGAGTTTTTTTTTTTTTTGACCACGATCATTATTATAATAAAGCACTCTTGAATTCATTTTTCTTGGCATTCATCATGTCGGGAACAATTTTTATCGACTCCTCATACATATTTATTTTCATCTTTCTCATTAGCTCAACAAAAAGAGGAAGATTATCAGCTGGCGCTAACTACGTCAATTACCCATTTTTTTTCATTATTTCTTTCATATCTCATTTTTCTTTTGCCCAAGCTAATCGTTATTATCATAATAATTATTATTATAAATATAGTGATACAGAAATCTGGTTCGATATCAGTAACTTCGCCTTTTACACCATCCTTCCTTTGATCATTTTGTTAGTGTATGGTCCTGAAAAGAAACCATGGTTTGGTAAAATCATTTATTATTTAGATGATTTAATCTTTTTTTTCTGCCTTTCTGCTCTACCACTGATTATTATCAACACAAGTGATTATCGAAAATTTAATTCTGGTGTTCTCACTCCCATGTTCAGTTTCGCTTTTGGCTTAGCAACTGTTTATTGGGTTTTGTTCAATTTTTTTCAAGATAAGATGGCTAATTTCTTTGAATCGCAACAGTTCTCAAGAAATATCACAAAAGTGCTCAACCTGTTGATCGTTTCTTTTATTATTCTTTGGTATGATATTATTTGGTGGACAGCGTTAGGAATAGTTAGTATAAGATATCATACCTTTGGTCTTATTATGATGATGTTTTTGACTGTCGTTCCAATTTGTCTTCTCAGTTACTTTGCTGTTGTTGATGAAATTAATAATCGCCTTAGTCAAATATTGAGTCTACTTAGCTTTGCGTTTTTGCTTATTTTTCAAAGTCTTTGGTTCAGTATCTGTTTTCCTATTTCGTCATATATCACAAAATCGATAATTGGATTAACTCTACTTTCGGTTGGCAGGATTATATATTATATGACATATAAAGATTCCGGGGATCATGGTTTCTTCAACGGTTTCAAAAAAGGTATCTCAAAAAGGGGAGAAAATCATGAAACTAATTTGAAGGTCGAGGATCAGAATGTTCAAAACGCTCATGGTCGTGGTCGCTTCGACGGTTTCAAAAAGAGAATCACGAAAAAGTTCGAAAAAAACCATGATGAGAATGTTGAAAATGTTGATGATATTGAAGATGGTCAGAGTGTTCCGGATGGTCGAAATGTTCAAAATGATCGGAATGTTCACGGTTTCTTCAACGGTGTTAAAAAAGGTATCTCAAAAAAGTTCGAAAAAAAAAAACGTGAAACTATTGATAATGTTGATGTTGAAGTTGTTCAGGATGATCAGAATGTTCAGAATCAGAATCAGCACGTTCACGTTCAGGGACCTCAGAATGTTCAGCAGTATGGTCAATTTGGTCAGAATCAGTACGTTCACGTTCAGGAACCTCAGAATATTCCGTATGGTCAAAATGTTCAGAATCAGGACGTCAATGTTCAGGGACCTCAGAATGTTCAGCAGTATGGTCAATATAGTCAGAATCAGTACGTTCACGTTCAGGACCCTCGGAATATTCCGTATGGTCAAAATGTTCAGAATCAGCACGTTCACGTTCAGGAACTTCGGAATGTTCCGTATGGTCAAAATGTTCAAAATGTTCAAAATGTTCAGAATGTTGAGACGGGTGGGGCTCATGAAGTACGAGATGATTATGAAACGATTAAAATTCTCTCATTTAATAATGAAATGGGATAAAAAAGAGTAAAGATTTCTTGGGTAGGAAAATTATTCAAGTAATAACTGCATAAGATTAAAAAAAAAAAATTTATAAAAATATAAATCATTTATTTATTTATTTTTTAACTAGATATCTAGATATTAATGGTGGTTGTAGATATTAGTAGAGATTATTTGATATCAACAGTAGCGATAATAATTTCGATATGATAAATAATGTATTTTTTTTTATGAAGTGATATTTATTCAATAAAATTTGAATCAATTAATTACTAAGTAATTACTATTTTTTATTTATTTAATTAATATTTTATTTTTATTCAATCGATCCAACATATTTAATTACATCAATACAGTATAATGAAAATTGTCGCAAGTATTTATAATTATTATAAATTTTTTGTCATTTTATAATATAATTACGATTATTATCATAATTATAATTGCTTTTTTAATCATCAAAATTACGATCAATGAGTCTGATTATTTCTATCAACATTTGTGATGATATATAATTATTTTTCTTCATTTCCTTTGTTTTCGTCGCGTAATTTTCGATTTCTTTATTTTTTAAAGTTGATTGGGTTACGTGAATTAAGCGATGCATGTGGAGTATTAAAAAAATAATTATAATTATTATTACTAGTAACATTATCATTGTTATAATTTGTATTGATGCTTTATTAATTTATTTTTTTAGTTCTAAATGAAATGCTTATGTATTATTTTTAATATTGATTATTATTATTATTATAGTGTGGCGCAACCGTTAAAGTTTAATTTCTTATTAGTTAGATTAGAGATTGTTTACCTTTTCGTTATTACTATCATCATCTAAAAAAGTTATTAAATTAATTAATGTTTACAACCACATCATTTCTAAATTCTCATGAAAAAAAAATTGGTTTTCTCATTTTGAATTATTTAACGAATTATATTTCACCTTGATGTACTGAAATTTTATTTGTTAATCAAGCTAATATTTCAAAAGTGATATTGAAAGTTTAATTAATAAACGAAGAAAATGTTGTTTTTGGAACAATCATCCTTTGTTGTATATTTATTCATATAAATAAAACTTGAAATTTATTTGATTACAGATAGCTTTAAAAAGTAAAAAAGGTTCTCGTTTATAATACAGTGTATTAGGGTACTTTACATTGATAAATCAAAAAAAAAATAAATACAGTGGCGATCAAAAGTAATGCAACACGATTTTGATTTAATAAAATTATTATTTTTTTAGTACAACTTGATAATATTTTATTTTTTATTTTTTATTTTTATTTGTCAATGGTTACAGTTTCAAATAAAAAAAAATTATAATAAAAAATAGAAAAAAATTTTTCTAAAATTTAATTTTTTTTTTAGAAAGTACCATTGCATTTTTTATTTTCTTTTCTAACACAATTCACTTAACTCAGTAAATCAATTAATTTATATTGCTTTTTTTTTTGTTTATACTAGATTGAATATGAAACACACTACCATCTTGTGTATCCTCCCCAAGCCTTAATAACATCATGAATTCTTTGTGGCATAGAGTGGATCAAATTGGTACAAGTATCAATGTCAATCTCTTGCCAAACCTGTTGAATTTTGATCCACAAGTCCTCCTTACCCAAAATTTGTTCAGGAAGATGACAAAGATGATGATCTATTTCATTCCATAAATGTTCTATGGATTAAGATCTGGAGATTGGGTGGGCCAATTCAAAACCTTTATTTTGTTACTTTGAAGCCATCATTTTGTTGAATTTGCTATATATTTAGGGTCTCCATCCTGTTGAAAAATCATATCTTTGATAGCAAATCTTGAACTTTGATAGTATTTAAGAGATCCTCAAAGTATTTGTTGATGTAATTCATTATATCAATTTTACAAAAGCCACCAACACCACGTGATGTAAAGCATCCCCATATCATCACCTTCAAATTTCACAGTAGGCTGAATATGAAAACAATTTAATGGTTCCTCAGGATGTTTCCAATAATATTGTTTTTTATCAGATCCAAAAACTCTAAATTTTGATTCATCAGACCATATTACCTTTGACTAATCATTATTGTCCAATTTTATATTTTCACACAAAATCTAAGTGATATTTTTGTTATTTTTTACTCAAATAAGTTTTTTTTTTTCTTTTAACTCTTGATACTAACTCATTATTTTGAAATATATATCAAATAGCAGGTGCTGAGATATTAATATTTTCTCATTCTTGTGAATGGCTTTGGACTTCAACAGTAGAAGAACACCACAAGAGGTAATGAAATTTATGATTTTTTTTTGAGTTGGTTTATTTGTGATAAGTGGATAACTTGACTTTGACAAGTTTTCAATGGAATAGTTTTCAAACCATCTTTTTTTAATTCAAGAAACTGTAGATGGATTTATATGCTGAGCTCTTGATATTTCCCTTGTTGTGTATTTTTAAGAAGAATTTGAATTCTTTCTTTAGAGGTCATATAACACTTTTGTGTTGTAACTTGTTTACTAAGGAGTTGTAACATGGTACAAAAACAGAAAAAACAGAATAAACAATAAAATTTACTTTTTATGTGATATTTATGTAACACAATAATTACCATCTGGTTCTTTCAAAAATGATCAAAAGTAATACAACACGTGTTTCATATTACTTGACCTTATTGAAAATAAAGTTAAAAATATCAAAAAATTTAATATAAAAAGAAAAAGTTATCTTCCTATTCTAGACTTTCTGAATTGTTCCTTCTATAATTTTTCATATATTGATTGAATCAATATACATATACAAAAAGCAAGTGATTAAGTAAAAATAGAAAAATCTTATCTAAAAATAAAGAAACTCAAACCAAATCCAAAAAACCAAAATCCACAAGACCCAACTATTACTGTCTAGGCTCAAATCACGAAAACTAAAACTAACAATAAAAAAAATGAATGGTTAGTATTAATATTCATTGATAATATATTTATATAAACAAAAAAAAATAAAGATTTCTTACCTAAAAAATATATATTCTAATACACAAGCCAAAAATAATAAGAAAAGTTAGTATAAAAAAAAAGAAAGAAGAAAAAAAGAAAGGTTAGTATAGAAAAGAAAATCAAATCAAATCCACCCAACCCAATCACATATGCCACCTGTGAATGGGCCCAATAAATTTAACTATTGGAAAAACTATCTATAAAAAGAAATAATAATTAGTATTCTGTGATGGAATCCATACAAACAAAGAAGTAATAAAAAATTTCATACCTTAAAAATCTAACTAAAAAAAAATCTATCTCTGAAATGAAAGAATAATTAGAGTTAGTATTTCATCATTGATTAGTAGACAAAGAAAAATAAATATTTTACTCACCTAAAAAAAACTAAACTAAAGAAATCTATCCTAATTAAATCTAAACTAAAAAAATCTAAGCTAAAAATAAAAAGTTTATACAATTGTATGAATAGTATTCTTAATTCATCAATTACGTGCGCATGTATGTACAGTCACATCAGAAAGTGATGCCCAATTTTGAATAGTGTAACAATATACTTGATTTACATTATTTATACCTCCTTTTTTTTAACTTAAAGGTTTTTCCCATGTCATGACTTGATTCATGGTTAAAAAAAAATGGCAGCACACCATACAGAGTTGTCTCCTCTAGATAAAGGAAAAATACTGGCATATATAGAAAATTTTAATACTATACAAATAGCAAAAAAAATAGGATGTGACCCTACCACCATACACCAATTTATTGACAGATACAAGAAGACAGGAAATACTGAAAATTTACCATATTCAGGATGGCCACCTGCTCTCAATAATAATGAAAAAAATAAACTCATAAATGAAGTTATGAAGAACTGACATGCACCTTTATATGAAATTATTAATACACTAAGTTTAAACTGTAGTTTAATAACTGCTAAACAGACACTATACGATACTGGAATTCACTTCCATGTTTCTGCAAAAAAGCCTTTTGTGTCAGAAAGGCATGCATCTGCTTGTATTAGTTGGTGTGAAAAATATAGAGATAAAAAGGCTTATGATTGGGTGCAAGTTATTTTCTCAGATGTATCAAGTGTTGAGATTGGAAAGCAGTCACAGCAAATAAGAGTTTGGAGAGGTGTAGGAGAAGGTTTAGTATTGAATGTTTGGAACCTACTTTTAAAAGTGATCAAAAATCAGTTATGGTTTGGGGTGTTTTGCAGGAGGAATAAAAGGGCCATTAATTTTTTGTGATGAAAACAAAGAAGGAAATGAAAGGATCAATTCAAATACTTATATTACGATCCTAAATTCATATTTAATTCTATTTTGGCATAAAGTTTATAAGAAAACAGGGAAGACTGTAGTTTTTCAACAAAATAATGCACCAATACATACCACAAAAATAACTAAAGAATGGTTTAAGACAAATAAAATTCCAATTATTGATTGGCCAGCAAATTCTCCAGATCTGAACCCAATAGAGAACATTTGGAAGCAATTAAAAGATAAAATTCAGAACTCTGAGACCTTTCCAAGAAATATAAATGAACTTAAAACTGCATTAAAAAAAGAATGGGAAAATTTGGATTGATCTGTTTTTGAAGAGGTTGTTGCCTCAATGCCAAGAAGAATCAATGCAATACTAGAGGCAAAGGGAGAGCCAACAAAATATTAACTGTTATAAAACTATTTTTTATGTATGATTTTATAAAATAAATAAAATTTTGCCTCAATTTTAAATCGGGTGTCACTTTCTGACACAACTGTACATTGATTCCATTGACTTCTTTGATTCATTAATTTAGCAATTCTATCAATGAAATGCCCTTACCATCAGTAATGAAATTCAATCTTGAATAGAGATATGAATTCAGGAATAAATTAATATTAATATTCCCAAAAAAATTTTAGACAAAAAAATATTACAAAATAAATCTAATAAATACTGGTGAAAATCATTTTTGAAAATGAAACCAATACTTATCATCCTACAAGCTGTAAAACATAATCTTATCAAAGGAAACAATGTAAAAAGAAGTTAACAGTAGAATAAAAAACAGCATTAACAAAAAAAAAAAGCAATAATTATTTTGCTTAGATGATATAATACCTGTCAAGGCATTACTTAAACAATAGTAACAAAAGGCAATTATTTTGGTTTTAACGAAAACAAAGCATTAAATGAATGAGAAAATTAAATAAAAATATAGTCAACAAAAAGTTTTTTCAAAAAAAAAATGAGCGGAGGGTTGAAAAAAAAATGAGGAAATAAAAATTTTAAAAATTTTGAAAAAGTGAAAAAAAATGAAAAAAAAGTAAAATGGCCAAAAAATTTTCTTACAAAATAAACAAAATCATTGTATATCAACAATAAAATTCTATCATATGAAAAAAACTTGTCATCGTAAAATTCTATCATTATTTAATATTTTATATTATATATTTAAATAAATATTTAGTTAAAATTGAAAATTACACCGTGAATATGAGAAAATTTCATTACACTAAAAAAGTTATCTCGATATGGGTGACTAATTTGTTATTCTATATTTCGTTAAAAAGATAACTATATCAGTTCAAATATTTGAAATTATTTATCTTTTACTTTTATATTAAGTGCATCTAAAATTGGTAATCATGATAACTATAAAGAATTGTTGAATCTGTATCACTTATTTCGCGAAACTTTTGATAAGAATTAAATCCTCAATAATGAACATAAGATATGATTTACTCATTTTTATAATGAAAAAATTATTCGTTCTTTATCCTAATCTCGAAAAGCAAAATTGCCGTAAATACATATCTCCGTTATGTCTGTTTAATCAATTCTATATAATTCAAGCTTTTAAATCTATGCCACATACTTAGTTTTCTAATTCATCTAATGTTAATAATATTTTGCTGTGTGATGATTGAGAAATATATAATTATTAAAGAGTAAATGATTCGAATGTGAAATACAATTATTTTTTTATGTTGTCGTGATGACAGTGGTTGGGTTGGGGTTGTGGTTTCTTTTAAATAATTGGTTTGGTAAAGAATAATTATAATTCTTGTATTTCTTATACGTATCGTATTCTCATCATTATTACCAAGATTCAATGTATCATGCAATGATCTTTTAATGAACCTTTTAATAACTCTTTAATGACTCTTGTAAGGGTTCTTATTGATGCATAGTATTAACTTTGGAAAATATCTCTTCATCCTCATTCTCATCATTTTCAAAAAGAACTTCCGATGATAATCTTGAATCATTGGGATTCAAAAGTTTTGTACATTTTTTTCCTGTTTCGAAATCATATTAATTCGAAGATTTAATAATAATAATATATGAATACGTGAATATGTATGATATAAATAATGAAACGGCACAAATAAGATAATCATAATATATTATATGTATGCTAAAATGTTGTCGTACCTTTAGATATTTCTTGTCCTTCAAATACTTCTTTAAACTATTCGATCGCTTCTAATTATTTAGGATAAAAATTACTATCGTTGTACAGGTTTCTGTGGGGGACATCGAACTTGGGTAAGCGGCGACAATACAATTAATAAATATATTAAATATATTAAAGAAAAATTAATTAAACCATAAGCTTGGATGTCATTGTAAATTTTTTTTGTTTTTCTGTTTAAATAATAATAATGATCTGAAGTATTTTTTTTTTTTTTGGAATGAGTTTTCTTGTCATCGTCGTTCGTTATTAGAAAGAACAATGATTCTAATTCAAGATATTTGTTCCATATTATGTTGGATAAAAATTTGATAATCCAATTCACGCCAAATTTTTATTACACCATCAGGAAATTTTGGAAACTTGACTATGGTTCGGCCACTGTGTAGAATCTTTACAAATCAAGTTCCTAAATATATTATTATTGAATTTTATGTTCTTTTCTTCTTTGTTTCCTATATTGTTGTTGATTATGTTTAGATAATGAAGCGTCGATATGTAAATTTAAGAACATGAAACTATATTTGATGAGGTAATAATTGATAATAGATTGATTTTCTGCTTAGTTTATGCAAATGACGAGTGCCAGAATAAAGAAAAATCAATAGAAGTGAGCATAATTAAAATAATGATTTGAAAGAACACTTCTATTCAATATGTAGAAAAATTTTACAAGGCACTCAGTTTAGTAATAACGATAGCAATAGTATTACAACTAAAATTTAACACCGAATCGTTATAAAGATGACTTTGATAATCAAATATTCAGTAGATGTGATGTCATTATTACAAAGAAATCAGATATAATCTGCCTTAATTATCTAAATTCGTACTCAAGATATAAGAAAATATACTACTAAAACTACTAAAAAATATTATTAATTAAATTCAAGTTAATACAACGCTTCCTGATCCCGAACTCTTGTTTTAGAAAATAATAAAAATATTATTGCCGCCGTCGTGATAATTTTAAAGAAATAAAATTCGACGATAATGATAAATGATAATGAATCCAGTAATGAAGATTACAGCGGTAATTATTGTAAAAATTATCATCATGTAAAAAGTGTGCAAAGAAATAAACGAATCATCCGTGTTGGTGATAAGGCCACGACAAATACTAGACGCACCAAAAACCATCATGGTAATGATAAAAATAAAAATAAATCCAGCAAAAATGATAATCAAGATGGCGATTTGCATACACTTGAGGAATAGGCAGTTTAGAAGAAATGTATAGTTGGGAGGAATATATTGAATGTGTGGATGGTAAAGAAATATAGTATATAGTAAAAAAAATTTTTTTTTTCAAAATCTGATATTTTACTATTACGTAAATGCATTACTTTTTTTTAATGAAAATTTAGGAATTTTGATTTAAATCAGTTCATAGTTCATACTTCTATTGATGTAAATTTTAAATGCCCTCAAAAGTAATATTGTCTCTACTTCTTTCTATGCTGTATTTAATAATAATAATTATATATGTCATATTAGGTAATCAAATTTTATGAAACAATTTTTTTCTTAAAAATTTATTCATGTTTTGCATTAAAAATTCCGAGATTTCACAATAAAAACTTAAAATTTTAAAATTTAGATTTTTCTCTGTCGCATTCTTTTTTTTGCATCGCTTCTTTGTTTATATGTCACTTTATTATATCTTTTTGTCGTAATATCTTTTCGTTATAATTATTGTGTTTTATATCTTTCAAACCCAAATAAGTATTAAATAAATAAACTGAATTAATAAAAAAAAAAAACCGAAATTCACACTTCGAAGTTGTGGTAAGGATATCATAAGCGGAAATGTTAAAACGAAACTAATTAATTTTTCAGCACGCAAATTAATAATGCGCCATTTGAATGAATTCGGGTGTTATTAAAAATAAAGAAACAGACAGTTCTAGATTCAGTTTAATAATGGGTGATAACCAATAAATGTATATTTCCCTAAAAAATATAATAAGTAATATTTAATGTAAGTTATAATAATAATAATAATAATAATTGTCAATTTCTAATTATACATCTATATCAAATTTGTACTAAATAAAATAGTTGAAAAATACTCATATACTGGAAGATTTCCTTCTGGGATTAAATCCCATTGTTGATTAACACTATTAAATTATTTCGTTAAATCTAAATAAAATATTTCAGAAGATATATATATATATTTGTTAAATTTGCTGAATTTTTCTATTCACAAATAACAAATAATTATCTGATGGATTTTCTCTCCTTTATTTTAATTTATTAAAAAACTTATTATGTGATGAAACAGTTAAGAGCTCGTCGAGTGAAGGGATAATCTAGAAAATTTAAAATCATAATACAAAGCTTAAACATTAAGAGTGTTAAATCTGATAATTAAAAAATCCCAATAATTATGCACGTATTATGTAATTATTCTTCACTTTCAGTCATTGTTAATAAAATATTTAATTGAAAATTCTTATATAAATTATCCAAAATGATTCATAAGGTAAGTACCTAAAATATTAGGGTGTAATTCATATGATCATCTTATTCTATACCGCGTTATTTACCACCGTGTGTCGCACATTTCGAAATATCGATTTTCGGGACAGAGAATTTTGTCACATTCTTCATCACTTAATATTTATCACATGTGAAATAATTTCTATCACCTGAGCATCATGTGTCTATTATGTCAATAAAATCTCTCTCTCTCTCTCTCACACAAAATAAAAAACAAATACCTTTCCCTTGTTCTTGGCTACAAAGTGATGTGTTTCACCCCGATAACATTAATATTTGCAGAGTTATTCTGGTTTAAAGAAAAATGTCCATAAAAAATCGTGTAAAATTTTCGTACGATTTTTCTCACGGACGCTTTTCTTTAAACTAAAATAACTCCGCGAATAGACATGACAACATTCACATTATAATATTTTCTGCATTTTCATGTATACATGTCTATCAATTCAAATTATAATATTCGTTTGTTCATTTGAATTTTTTTCACAAAATGGACAGAATTAATATAAATCAAATTATTATTATTATTAGTATAATGAATTGCTAAATTTTTATGAAATGTTATACAAGAAATTAAAGGATTTGTATTTAAAAAAAATATGCAAATAATGTAAGTAATGTTTGTAATGAAATATATGTATAATTTTTTTAAACATCAATTGTTCCAGAACCTGGGATAACTATTGTTGATCCTTCACTAATATTGCTGCTGCGATTTATATCAATGTTAAATTCATCTTTTTCGAGATCATGATTGATATCTTCCAAAGGTCCTTCAATAATTTCTTCAAATTCTTTGTCAGATTCTTGTATACGATTTTTTTCATGTCCAAAACCCATAACAATATTAGACCATTCAAAGAATGTCATTCTTTTAAAGGATATATCATAAGTTTGAACGTTTTTATGTGAAATAAGAGTATCATGTTTTGGAAGTAATACTGAATCGGCACTTTTCTTAGTTGCATTCGCGGAGTAACTTTTTTCCTTATTTTTAGGTCTACCTGATCCTTTTTTATTTTGGTTACCACCTTTGATTACTTTAACAATTTCGGCATCAACAGTCACAACATAAGACATTAAAACAAAGGCTAATGTATTAAAAAAGATTCTGGCGGCTATCATATCAAGAGTAGTAGGTTTGAGGGCGACAAGAATATTCACAAATGCACTTAGATTTAGTAGAAAAGCTACCCCCAAACGAGCAAAATTCCAGTACATAACTCCAGTAAATAAAGTGCGTTTTGTACTTCCTTTCATACTTGCATCAAGACCTATTAGATTATTGTTGGCACTGCGAAGGATTTGTATTAATCTAAATGAAACATACAAATCAATTGAAAAGTCTACGCATATTGAGGCTGTTTCTGGTTTAAATAGGAGGGTAAAATCATTCGTACACCAAACTCGAAGTGGGGTTGGATATATTAATATTCTGACAAAACCAAATGCTATGATCTATATCCATAAAAAAAAAAAAAAGAAAGATCATTAATTAATTGTTTACAAGAGAATAGCATTATAACCTGAGAGACTTTACATACGTGAGCTATTGTTCTTCCTGAAAATAAGATAATGCTTGCCCATTTATCAATTTGATTGTTTCCAATTTGTCTCAAACGCCACAATAAAAAAAATGCCAAAGCTTCTCTAAAAAAAAATGACGAAATATATGACAAAGAAAATATAACTTTGCAACCAATTAAGTCTACCCAAACAGGTGCAAATGATGCTGCAATTCTTGCTATGAACAATATCATGCCATTAATGTTAATTATAATTTTGTTGATATTGGAAATATTGGACTGTCGCGTTTTGTATAAAAAAGTAAGAGACGAAAGTGTTGTGTAAAAATACCTAAATAGAAAGAAACAGTCAGAAACAAAAATGTAAGTTAAAAAGTTGCATTTGAATGTAATTTGTGCTTCTCAAGTTGAGATAACCTACCATTACAGCTGCTCCATACAAAAAACCCATATAACCATCATTTTGATAATTGGAAATCATTTTAGAAAAAGAATTTAAATGAATTGTAAGTTATGAAAAAATTTCAAAAAATTTTTTATTGGCGATAGCTTGATTTTATTATAAAATTTTGCATATTCAAAAATATTTCTTGTTTGAATGAACAATGCTAAGTTTCTGTCCATTTTTTTGAAGAATAATATGAACAATTTGTGTTATCGGAAGAACTGTGAGCGAAACACGTTGTACAATTTTTAAAATTCACAAAAATACAGAAATTCTTTAAAATGTATTGTATGCCAAATTCTGGTTGGATATTAATAGCTAAAGTAATTTAAAAATATCTAAAGAATAATACGTCAACATGAAATAATAGCTTTTGTCCGTTACAAATCATGATCTTCAAACAATTGGACGAAAGATTTATCAATTTTCTATTTCCTGAACAGATGAATAATTGAATGGATTCCCGAAATAGAATTATTTTTAGATGAATCAATTTTTGTAAAAGATGCTTACAAATTATGTATGGCACATATGTGTGACAAATTTATATAAATAAAATGAGTTCAGCGTTTTATTAGCTTGAATTTTTTTTTTACATTACCCATTTGATTAATTTCTTGGAATTGATGGATAGAATCACAAAAAATAATAAGATATTTTTATTACCAAAAAGAAGATTACATAAAAAAATTGATTTCTCATTTGCACAATATTTATTTTTTTTTTATTTTTTACTAAGACAATGTTTTATTGTTTTGTTTAACTGGAGATGTTACATAAAAAAATTGATTTGTCATTTGTAAAATGTTACTTTTTCCTTATTTTACTGAAGACAATGTTTAATTATAACTTTATATAATATAAAAATTTATATATTGGTTTCAAGAATTGTATATTAATCGAAACCTTTTATTTCCAAATTAAGAACACAATGTTGTTGCTAAAAACGAAAAAAAGGGAAATTTTTTGTAAAGGCATAGTACCAAGTCGCAGCATCAAGCTTAAAAGTAAGAGATTTGTTCCTTTGACAATCTCTATTATTGTGTAACTTTAGAAAATACTTGTAATAAAATAATCGTCGATAGTTATAACATATTAAACTTTTTATTTTAATAAATAAATGTCAAAAATGGTACTATATAAACTCAAAGATAAATATGAATTACATCCTCTGTAAAAATTGTAAGCTGATTTTGTTAAAATTAAGGGAATTATTATTATTTTAAATTTTTTCTCGTTTAAAATTTAATCACTTTTAATTCTCTTGATTTTAATTGGAAGTATCTGTTCCTTTTACATAATATGTAATTTATTCACATATTTAAGATTACTTAGTACTATTATTGATATTTACTTATTAAAATAAAAGTTCTTATATGTGGTAACAATCATGAATTATTTCCGATTCTTATATTGGTAAAAACAAAAGAAATATTTTATTGTGTAAGTTATATTTTCCAATTTAATTATTTTGATTTATAACAAGTTATTTGTTATATAAACCGTTTAGTGGTTACTTATTTTTGTCTAATTGAAGAATAGGAAATTTATTATAATTGTTCAATACAATTCATATTTGTACTTATTGTATTTATATAATGTAAAAAATTTTTTTAATTATTGTATTAAGCTAAAACAGTTTTCTCGTATCGTTGTTATTTCTTGATAGTTAAAAAAATTTTGTATGATTCAAATATTTGAAAATAATATAGAGATCCATGATAACTATAAAGAGTTTTCGAATATGTTTTACGAAACTTTCGATAAGAAATAAAATCTTTAATTTTGAACATATGATACGATTTTATTTCATCTGATCATAAAAAGTTCTACATATTTATAATAATAAAAAATATTTATTCTTTATCCTGATCTCGAAAGCAAAATATCGCTTTGATGTGAAACAGTTAAGGACAATGATCTTTAATAAAGTCGCAATTTAATAACTCGTCAATTATACAACAAATATTAAATGCCAATTTTTCAGAACAAAAAAGATTATAATGTTATCATTGAAGTTAATAAAGAAGAAAATAAAAATCTTTTACTGCTCACTTGGTCGTCTAACTTTATCGTTCATCACACTTTGATAAAGAATTAGTGAACGCTCCTACGAATAAAAATCATATCAAAACGATTATTAAACCAAATATTTCCGCTCAAATATTCGAAATCATTCTTAAGTAGTAAAGAGTTTATTATAACTTTAAATATTAAATTAATTATTTTGTGACTCAATAATAGATACGTGTACGATAGAATTGTCGAAATTGAAAATACGGATAAAAAAACCATTTATAAATTAATGATCAATGCCAATGAATTAGAACTTAAAGAACTATCAGTAAAATTAGGAAGTTACCTTATCGAATCTAAAGCTTCTTAGATAAGAACTCATTTCTCCCGTATTTATCATTCAATCTTGGATGGTAACGAATTTAAAAGATCAAAAAAACTTGATAATTATATTATTGCAAAAAAACCAATTCGATTTTGAATCCGAAGGTTTCACTTCATTCCAAGAACGGTACTGACTTCTATTTTAAAAAGAGATAACTTGAATGTCGAAGAAATTAAAATTTGGGACAACGTTATCAAATAATTTGGAAGACTGGTCTAATGAAAATTTCGCTTTTTTTTTTTAACCATCGGGGTCCAATGAAAACCTCACAACTTTGAAAATAACACTGCAGCAATGTTTACCACTTATTCGATATTTTCATATTCCCGGTGAAGATATTGTGGAGAAAATAAAACCATATAAAACTTGAAGAACTTTGGGATGACTTAACTCAATATTTTATGTTTCCAAATTAACCGGTCCAGTTTAATAACTTGTTTTACCGGCGAGAAACATTTCCAATCCTGAATTACCTTTAATATGAACCTCTGAATTGGCATTCTCGACTATAATTAACAAAGTAACAAAGAGCATCCAAACAGAACTTTCATCATGGATAGATTGAAAATCAACTATTTATTCTTTATCAAATTTCACTTATGAATTTCAATTAATTCTTCGAGGAAGTAGAGATGGTTTTTATCCCAAGAAGTTTTGGAACATGTTCCATGATTATGCTGGACATTTGTGATTACAAAAGTTGTTGAAATAGTTTTGGTTTACATCCTTTAGCTTGTGATAGCCCAAATGACTCAACCGTTAGTGCCATTAGTATTTATAATACTAATAACATAACCATTTATATTTCTGAGTACGGCCCAAATTTTGGTAGAGATCTCAATGCCTAAGTCAATTTTCTATTTCTTTATTTTTTTTTAGATTTTAAAAAAAGTATGAATACACCCATAAACTTTAATTATTTGATAATTATTGCTAATGTATTCTTTTTTTCATGTTTACAAATTAAATATACAGTAAATATATATATATATATATTTTAAATCCAATGGAGTCTTGCTCCAATAAACTTTTATTAATAAATTCGGTGTAAATTTTAAAGATACAAATAATTTATTTTACATTTATTGAAACTGACCAAAATAACATTTTACTGTCCAACTCATCATTGCCTAAGTGTAACCTCAGGAACTGATGGTCAAAACTCCATCAGATGTAATTATTATTATATAGCTATAATTATTATTATATTTGCATCCTAAGTTAATCCACATCCTAAATTTATGTATCATGTTCTTTTTCTATTTGTTCTATTTTAATGTATTTCCATTCATTAGTTTCTACTAACTTTATATTGTCATTATATTCTCTTATTTCCCTCACCTTTTTTAAATTAATTTTTCCCTTTTTTTTCTTTTTTAATCTGTTTGTAATATTACTTTTATCTTCCCATAGTGCCACTTTTTCACACTGTTCCTTCCAGTAGTCTTTTAAGTACTCTTTGAAGTTAACCATTCCTTCA